GATTGATGAGACACGAGGCGGCGTTAATGGGAGACTGGAGGTATGGAGGCAGACTCTAGAGTCTAAAGGTTTCAAGTTGAGTAGGACTAAGACAGAATATGTGAAATGTAAGTTCAGCAACGTGACGGGGGAAGCGGATGTGGAAGTTAGGCTTGACTCACAGGTCATCCTCAAGAGAGAAAGTTTTAAGTACTTAGGGTCAATTATCCAGGGAGATGGGGAGATCGATGGGGATGTTACGCACCGTATAGGGGTGGGGTGGATGAAATGGAGGTTAGCGTCTGGAGTCCTGTGTGACAAGAAGGTGCCACCGAAACTCAAAGGTAAGTTCTATAAAGCGGTGATTAGACCGGCCATGTTGTATGGAGCCGAGTGTTGGCCAATCAAGAATTCACATATCCAGAAGATGAAAGTAGCAGAAATGAGGATGTTGAGATGGATGTGCGGGCACACTAGGCTGGATAAGATTCGGAATGAAGATATTCGGGAGAGGGTGGGCGTGGCTCCCGTGGACGACAAGATGCGGGAAGCGCGGCTTAGATGGTTCGGACACGTGTGGAGGAGAAGCCTAGATGCACCGGTTAGGAGGTGTGAGCGGTTGACTTTGGCAGGTTCGAGAAGAGGCAGAGGCCGGCCTAGGAAGTCTTGGGGCGAGGTGATCAGGCAGGACATGGCGCGACTTCAGATTTCCGAGGACATGGCTCTTGATAGGAATATGTGGAGGTCGAGCATTAGGGTGGTAGGCTAGGGGGTAGTCGAGAGTTCTTCCCTCTTTGTACCGGGTAGTCTGTTAGAGTTTCGTTAGGTTTGTTAGCGGTCTTTGTTGTATTCACATTGGTGTTTTGCATAGTTTTGTGTTATTGTCCTTTCACTTATTTGTTGTGGTTATTTTCTTTCTGGTATCTTTTATTGTTACATGTCTTTTCTCTTATTTCTTTTCTGATATTATTGCCTTTCCTGTTGAGTCGAGAGTCTCCTGGAAACAGCCTCTCTGCCCTTTTCGGGGTAGGGGTAAGGTCTGCGTACACTCTACTCTCCCCAGACCCCACTAGTGGGATTTTACTGGGTATGTTGTTGTTGTTGTTGTAAGAAAGATTTAGAGTGATACGTGGGGGAGGGTGATACGTGGGGATGTGGAGAGAGAAACGTGGGGTGTGGAAGATGCGTTAGAGTTATTTTAGGACACTAATTATTATCATTGATTCCCTTAAAATGTACATAAATGGTAATTGGGTATATAAAATGTAATTATAGTAAAACTTGAGTAGGGAGGGTAATATAGTTTCATATAGTGTATAGAAATGTAAAAATCTCATTTATAAAAGTGCTGCCCGATGAACAAGGTATTCTGTATTCACGCAGCGTCTGGGAAGGACCACACCCCAAGAGGTGTAATTAGGGATGGGAAACGCGGCGGGTCCGCTCGGATATGGACGGGTCGAAAGCGGGTAATGAAAAAATAGATAAATTATCCGACCCGACCCATATTTAATACGGATAAAAAATGAGTTAACCGGCGGATGATATGGATATCCATATTATCCATGGCTTCTTGAATATGATCACTTTTGGGAGAATTCCTAATCTCCCAAACTTAAGGACTCCCAATTTGAGGATTTACAAATATAAAAATTAAACTCATTAGTTATCCAGTGGTTATCCATTTTCTAAGGGGATAATATGGTTCTTATCTATATTTGACCTGTTTTTAAAAAGTTCATTATCAACCTATTTTGTAATGGATTATGGATGGATAATTTTTTATTTTTATTTTTATTTTTTTTTATCATTTTTCCACCTTTAGGTAGAATGTAAACAACCTAACCTAATACAAGCATTAAAGGTTATTTCTACTGTTCGAATCCGTTCACAGAGACAACAGTAGTATTGATTTTATCTTCTTTATATTAGTCAGTATCACTAGTTCCAGTCGATTTATGAGAGGTAGCCGCATTTATTCTAGGACATAATTTTCCCTAATATTGTGGGACTCTTTTGTCATTAAAAAGTTAGGAACGAAAAAGAATAGTATATTAATGAAAAATAAAAGAGAGTAAATTTTATTTTATGTCTCACAAATTGACACGAGTTGTGTGAGACCTCTTTTTTTTTCTTACGGTTGTATGGTCTCAGAATTTTTGTGAATTCAAATGTGTAAGATATGTGTCCACAAATATGTGAGATAAAAAGAGGCCTTACACAACTAATATAAGTTGTGTGAGGCACAAAAAAAAAATCACTCTGTTACAATGAGAATCATTTTCAGCTTGACGACTTTCCATTGAAATTTGTGAAAAATATAAATGATCCTGTTTAGTGAGTTCAGCTCCTAATCACTTCTTGACTGGAGTTAATTAATCAAATGATCATCTAACTTATAGTTCATCCCTTTCTTTTTATGTAAATTCTTTTGATTGGATGTTGTGGAGGTCTAGTATTACGGTGGTAGGCTAGGAGGTAGTTGCGTCTAGCGTTACCTTGTACTGTTGTGAGCCTAGTCTGGTATGTTTTTGTCTGAAATAGCTAGGGGCATTGCCGTGTCGTACTATTTTCTCTTTTTGGTGCAGGACCTATCTATTAGCCATCATTTTTGTTTTGCACTTTTCTTTTTGCATTTTATGTTCCTATTTTTCCTATGATTTCTGTGGTGAAACTAATATTCTCTCCTTTTTACTTTTCTTATTATCTTGAGCCGAGGGTCTTCCGGAAACAGCCTCTCTACTCCTTCGTAGTAGGGGTAAGGTCTGCGTACATACTACCCTTCCCAGACCCCATTTGTGAGATTTTACTGGGTTGTTGTTGTTCTTTTGATTGGGTATAAAGTTTAACACAATCTTTTAGACTTTATAAATTTTAAACATGCCACATTTTTGTGGCTATAAAATTATGTCATTAAAAATAAAATATTAAATTAAAATTATTTCAAAATATAAAACAAGTCCTTTATTGGTAAAAACTCAAAAATAAAAAATTTACATATAATAGTAACTTTGCAATAAAATTACTAGACTAAATTTTTGTTACTTAAATTTAAATGTGTACGTTTTTTAGATACTTCTTTCATCCCAATATGTGTGACACTTTTTGTTTCTTAAAAGTTAAATTAACTAATCTTCAAAGTTAAATTGGATTAGATCAACTAATATTTTAAAATTAAAATTTAGATATTCATGAATTAAACAAAAAATATTATAACTTATAATTTTTCTAATATCAATATGATGAAAATTACATTTTAAAATGATGATCAAAGTTTACATAGTTTAAGTATCAAGAAGCAAAAAGTATCATATAAATTACAGCCTTCCAAATAAGAACTGGCCAACCCGGGTATATCATGAAGTTACAAATGTTGTACCTATGAACCAACCCCTAAAGCAAAATTAGGATAAAGAAAATAATTTGACCGGAAAGCCTTAATACACCAAAATGCTTAATTAAAATGTCACATCATTAAAAATGCCAAATAAATTTGCCATGTGAATCACACACTAGACTAATTTTTACCTACTTATCACTCTCAAACCCAAATGAAAAAAGAAGACCCACCATTTCCCCTCTTATTTAAGGAAAGTTCCTTCTTACTCGCTCAATTTCCAAACGTGGCCTTTAAAATGCAAAATGACACTGTATAGTAAAAATAATAGTCGAAAAAATATATAAATTTTATATATTTTTTGGATATATATATATATATATATATATATATATATATATATATATATATATATATATATATATATATATATATATATACACATTTTGTATGTTATATATAAAAATTATACAAATTTTATACACTTTTTCGACTAATCTTCAAAGTTAAATTGGATTGGATCAGTTCAATACAATAACAACAACAACCCAGTATAATCCCACTAGTGGGGTCTGGGGAGAGTAGTGTGTACGCAGACCTTACCCCTACCCTGAGGTAGAGAGGCTGTTTCCGATAGACCCTCGGCATCCCTCCCTCCAAGAACTCGGGTTGCTCACCACTAGAGCAACTCACTCTTGTCTAAAAATAAAATATTTTAAAAATTAAAATTTAGATATTCATGAACTAAATGAAAAGTACTATAAGTTACTTAATTTTTCTAATGTCAATATGATGAAAATTACATTTTATAATGATGATCAAAATTAACATGGTTTAACCCTCAAAAAGTAAAAAGTATAGTATAAATTGCGACAAACAACCTTAATACACCAAAATGCATAACTAACATGTCACATCATTAAAAGTGCCAAATAATTTTGCCATGTTAATCACACACTACACTAATTTATACCTACTTATTACTTTTTTTTTCACCTAAAAAAGTATTTTGAGTTCAAAAGAATCATATTTCGGTTTCGGACTCTTTTTTGTTTCTGTCCAGAACGTGGGAGGAAAAGGAAGGGGACGATACTTATATAGGTATAGCGCAGTTTATTACTGCGTTTTATATAAAAGCAGTAACAAACCACACTTTTATAGCCATCTTATCAGCTTCCAGGTAAATAGCGGTTCATTAAGGCGTTTTATATAAAACTTTAGTAACAAACCGCGCTTTACCTTAACGTCCCAAACGGCCGTTAAGGTAAAACGTGGTTCATAACCGCGTTTTATATATTTTGATAACTTTTTTTTTTCTACCTAAAAAAGTATTTTGAGTCCAAAAGAACCACATTTTGGTTCTGGACTCAAAAAAGAAGACCCACCATTTCCCTTTTATTTAAGGAAAGTTCCTTCTTACTCCCTCAATTTCCACACGTGGCCTTTAAAATACATTTTTAATTTTTTTATATTCCTTACTTCCCCAACCGCGTAAAGCTTCTTTAATTAAACTGTACACTTGCTCCTATTTTATCCTTTCTCATGTCCAAATCCAACCCCCAACCCCCACCCCCACCCCCACCCCCACACCCAGAAACTTCCTTAACACCGCGTTACACACGCTTCCTTTTACTAAAATGGCCGCGTCTGCACCATATATATATATATATATCCAGACCTACATTTTCATTCTCTTCAATTCATTCTTCTTCGTCTTCACGTTTCTCTTCAACTTTCACACCTCAAATTTCGGTTTTTCTAATGGAAATTTCTTCTTTCCCATTTCCTACACCGGAGGATTATCCTTCAAATTTCTTCAGTTTTTTTCAAGATTTTGACTTTCCTACTACTGATAACACTACTGCTACTGTTTTTGCTTCTGAACCGCTGCTGAAGAAGCGAAAAACTGATGATTTTGATTTCGATTCGATTGTAGAAGAAGGTTCATTAAAAACAGTTGAAGATATTTTGAGCAAATTCTTAGGATTTGACAACGAAGAGGAGAAAATTAACACACAATTCGATTTTTCATCTCATCAACCTACACAGCCATTAGTAAATCAATCCGTTTTCGAGTTGAATCAACAGAAAATGGATTCTGTTAAGCCATTGACGGGTAATAACAAAAGAAGTCGTCAAAATTCAGCTGAATTCATTTCAACATCAGAGGATTCTACTGGCGGCGGCAATTCCCAGCCGCCTTTACAACAACGTCGATTATGGGTTAAAGATAGGTCAAAAGCGTGGTGGGAACAATGTAATAGCCCTGATTTTCCAGAAGAAGAGTTTAAAAAAGCGTTTAGAATGAGCAAAGCGACTTTTGATATGATATGCGATGAATTGGAATCTGTAGTAACAAAAAAGGATACAATGCTACGTCAAGCAATCCCTGTTCGTCAACGCGTAGCTGTTTGTATTTGGAGATTGGCTACAGGCGAACCACTTCGCGAAGTTTCTAAGCGTTTTGGGCTTGGTATCTCCACTTGTCACAAGCTTGTTCTTGAGGTTTGTACTGCTATAAGAAGTGTACTTATGCCGAAATTTTTGCAATGGCCAGATGAGAACAAGATGAATCAAATTAAACAAGAATATCAGATGTTTTCTGGTATACAAAATGTAGGCGGATCGATTTACACTACACATGTTCCGATTATTGCTCCAAAGGTAAGTGTAGCTGCTTATTTTAACAAAAGACATACAGAGAGAAATCAAAAGACTTCGTATTCGGTTACAGTTCAAGGTGTTGTTGATCCAAAAGGAGTTTTTACAGATGTTTGTATTGGTTGGCCTGGTTCAATGTCTGATGATAAAGTGTTGGAAAAATCAGCTCTTTATCAGAGAGCAAATAGGGGATTATTGAGAGATGTTTGGGTTGTTGGAAACTCAGGATTTCCATTAATGGATTGGGTTTTAGCTCCGTACACTCGGCAAAATCTTACTTGGACTCAACATGCTTTCAATGAGAAAGTTGGTGAAATTCAAAGAGTTGCAAAAGAAGCGTTTATGCGAATGAAAGCTAGGTGGAGTTGCTTACAAAAGAGAACTGAAGTGAAACTTCAAGATTTGCCTGTTGTTCTTGGAGCTTGCTGTGTATTGCATAATATTTGCGAGATGAGAGGTGAAGAATTGAATCCAGAACTGAAGTTTGATCTTTTTGACGACGAAATGGTTCCAGAAAATATAGTCAGATCAATGAATGCTGTGCAAGCTAGGGATCAAATTGCTCACAAACTCCTACACCATAACCATGCTGGCACCAATTTCCTATGAAAAAAATATGTATTTAACTTTCCTAAAATTTTGATTTAAAGGGGCAGAGGGTGATTTTTTTTCATGGCTATTTGATGTCATGTTATAGAATAAGTACCATACTGTAACTCTTGTAGAAGATTCATTTTTATTATAAAGGATTGCTTTACAACATGCTTTGGGTGTAGTTATTTGAAACTTCCATTGCTGTTACATTATCTATATTTTGCTTCTTTTGTTTATAATCTTTGAACTATATAGCTCTAACTTATAACTACAAATTATTTGAACCCCATGACTATTTCATAATCTGTACATCAATGATAGTCTTGGGACATTTGTTGTTACTGAAGTTTTAGACCCTAATAGTCAATTACCTCACTGATTCATGTTTATATGACAGTTGATTTTTCTAGTCTTAAAAAAGGCTTTTCTTTTGACAATCACTTCATAGATATGGCCAGAAGGAGAGCCTTGGAACAACGGTCACATTGTCTTCGGAGACCTATAGGTTACAGGTTCGATATATGAAATCAGTCACTCATGCTTGCATCAGGGTAGGTTGCCTACATCACATCCCCTTATGACGCGGCCCTTCTCCGGAACGGCATGTTTTGTACACCGGACTGTCCTTTTTTTCCCATAGATATGGCCGGTGGGCACGGTTAGCTGAAATAACAAAGGCCAGTATTTAGGTTGACTCAATTTCATTTTCATGTTATTGTTACGTTGGTTCCATAGAATAGGACAGCAGCAACCAACAATATGTTGGCTGCATGCCTTGTTTGAAAAATACTCTGCAATTATGAGGTATTTAATTCTGATTGAACTACTGGTAATTGGTCAACATGCCAGGTTTTTTCTTGAGGAGCTCGAGCCGTGGAAACAGCTACTAATGCTTGCATTGCTTCTTGAGGAGCTCGAGCCGTGGAAACAACTACTAATGCTTGCATTGCATTAGGGTCTACATCACACACTTGGATCGTTTGATAGGATGTATAAAAATAAAGCTGAATAAGGTGTATTAGTAATGCAGGAATTAATAATGCATGGGTTAATAATGCAAGCATTAGTTATGTAGAGATTATTTCTTATTCATTGTTCGGTGTGGTGTATTAAAAATTAAAATACACACATAATTTTTAAGAAAATTAGTTATTTACAAAAATTCCCTCCATATTCTTTAGTTTTAAGGGACTTTAAGGATAATTTTGTCTTTAACCATGCTAATACATGCATTAAATGCCTTGGTATTGCTAATACCATGGTTTGCTATGCATTAGCTATACAGAGGATAATACCAAATATGATGTATAACTAATACTTGCATTAGTTAGGCAAAAGGGCCTCCGGGCCACTTAAACTTGTACCCGTTTGTCAATTCGGTAAATGAAATTACAAGTTTCCCATTTAAATACTTGTACTTGACGGATTGAGTACCAATAAACACCTCTGACCATTGACCAAGCCTATGTGGCAACAATATGTGTGACGTGGAAATAGTTGCGCATATCACGCAAATCAGACGCGTGAAAGCAATTTGCTTGAGTAATTAAAAATGAAAAGAAAAGATAAAAGTTAAAAAAGAATAAAAAATTCACAAAACCCTCCCGACACCCCATCTCCCCATCCCCTTACCCTTTCTTTTCTTTTCTTTTCTTTCCCCTAAAATCACAAGTCCTTCTATTTTTTTTTTCTCCATCTCCATTAGAGGCTTTGAAGTTCTTCACTGTAAAGCAATGGTGGATCTATGCTCCATAAAAATACCTCAAATAAACCAATAGATGGCTTCCCAAACATCACAATATCTCCTAAACCAACTAACCTTTGTCTCCTTCCCCATTAAAACTACTGAAAAATACCCAAAAACACATCATCTTTAGGAATCAAAATAGACAGTCATTTTTCTTCACTAAAAGCTTCACTGCAAAAAATTAAAATGAATATCATCTTTAATTTTTTCTTGTTTGAGGGATTGTCCATGGCAAATAAAAATGGGTTTGATCTTGAAATGGAGAGAGATGAGAGAGAACACAAAACACTTGAGGTCCTAAACAAGATAATGTAGAAGACACGAAGCCCGTCAGGATCTTTACTGGTCTGCACATCCATCAGTGAACCAATCTTAGATGTAATGAATGATATGTGCTCATTCCCCATCACTATCTCAAGCTCCTGCCTCCTAACTCTATCGGATTTAGTCCAGTTGTTATGATTTAAGAGGTCTTTTGAGAGAAAGGATTTTAAGATGAAGAGAATGGAAAAAAAAATTAATGATGGCTGAGTATTGAATATGATGGAATGGTGGTGGATCGGCAGGAGCTTTGACTATGAAGAAGAAGAAGACAAAAATTAATTTTTTAAAGAGGAGGAGAATAAAAATCTGGTAAAATAATTTTTCTTTTAAAGTAGGACCCATAGATTACACATGTCAAAGAATAAAAGGCTTAGTATATGACGTGTCAGTTATGTCGGATGTGTTTATTAGTATTCAGTTAACCAAATAGAGGTGTCCAAATAAAAAAAAATAAAAGTTTATACACCGGGATGACAAATCGGTACAAGTTTAAGTGGCCCGGAAGCTATTTTGCCTATTAGTTATACATAGGTTGAAAAAGTGTACCAAAGAAGGTATTACTAATACACAAAGCTAATGCATGCATTATTTTCTCTGATGCACTCTACCAAACGACCTCTTATAGTATGACTCATCCATGAATCCTATGTGAATACGAGATACTATATGCATTGAGCTATCTTTTTTTCCCTCTCTAATTCAGCTGAAAAATGCATTTTCTGAGCCATGGTGGCTTAACATTGTATTGATATTGGCCCTTGTATGCACACTGTATTGTTTTGATACTTTTTTTTTTGACAAACAGGGATATCTTATATATATATATCACTAAATAGTAGAGGTAGAGGTAGTATTGTTCAGATTGCCCGGGAGGGGGGGGGGGGCATCACCTACTTGGCTATTACAAACCAATAACATGTCCCTTAGGACATTTTGGTTACCAAAAGCTGCTAACCTAGAACAAACATCCTTGTAATTAAGGAACCTAATAGCATAAGTTTTTCCTTCACAGTCTGATTTCATGAAATTAGCTACAAAATACGGAGCATAGTAGGTAACAATAGTATCCCTGTTGTTGCTGTTTCCCTTTAATCCTTCCTTAGCCAACATGTGTGCCGGCTTGTTGGCCTCCCTGAATATGTGATGTATTCCCTGGACCTTCACTTGCCTCATTAACCATCTGCACTCATTAACAATGTCATTAAGTAATAATATTCCATTGTCCAAACAGTTAATAACATCGGTTGAGTCCGTTTCTACTTCTAGCTTTGTAAAACCTTGCTTAATGGCAGTTTTTAGACCAATATTTAAGGCCAACGATTCCGCCTGCAGTGCGGATGCTCGTGATGATTTTCCATGAAAGCCAGCTATCAACTGGCCATCGTAATCTCTAAACACCCCCCCCATAACCGCAAAGTGATTGGTCTTCGTTGAAAGAACCGTCAATGTTGAGCTTGATAGAGCCTCTAGGGGGTTTGTTCCATTTAACACTTATGGGAATTTTTGCTGGTTTAAAATTTTCTTTACCAGTTAGAAGTTTGAACTCAATTGATAATTTAATGGCCCATTGAATGCTAGGGGAGTGTGTGTAGTTATTATAAAGATTATTGTTTCTGTTTATCCAAATTATCCAAATGACAAATGGAAAAAGGTCGTGCCAAGAAATAATAGGATTTTTGAAAGTTGATTTGTGATCACGGATACAAGTAAGCCAATCTGTGGCACCGTTCCAGTTATTGGGATTAATACCTAGGTAAGACCATAGCTGTTGGACTGCCATGCATTCTAAGAAAATGTGCTTAATAGTTTCTTTATCAGATTTGCAAGTAGAGCATATGGGGTTTATGTTAATACCTATATGATTTAAGAAGCTCCTAGTTGGAAGTTTATTATGGTAACCTTTCCACAGAAGAAATTTTATCTTGTTTGGACAATTAATGTCCCAAATCCAAGTGTAATCCTTGTTGCAGACCAGTTGATTATCTAGGAGGGAGTAACAGGATTTGCTAGTGAATAGACCATTTGAGTTCAATGCCCAAAACGGAGTATCATAAGATTTGTTACTAATTTGTGTAGCATTAATCTTATTGATGATTCTGGGTTCTAGGGCCATAGAGAGTTTGGAGAGATCCCACGTATTANGTAAGTTTAAAAACCAGTAGGCTGAGATTCAAATAGCATCAGTATAAGATCTGGGCTCATTCAGGAGCCCAAACGTAACAGCCTCTGTTTGGACAGTCCTGGGCCTGAATCTGTTTAAAGCCCAACGTTGGTCAGCTCTTCCCCTTTTTGCAAGGTTAAGCCATTCTCCGTCTTTGGGCTGTTGTGAAGCCCAGTCGGCTGGGGCTCTTGTGTTGACTATCAAAGCACTTTAATTTAATATTGAGATGTAATTCTTTCAATGATGGTTTAGTAACAAAATAATTAATTAATTAGGGCCTTTCCTTTGCTTTTAGAGACAATACATGATAGAAAATTATAGATTACTCTAGGTTTGCCTTTTAAATAATAAAGTGAGATGAGCCTCGCCAATAAAAATGCAAAATCACGGGGCCCTCAATAGATGCTATATAAAATGCTTAGAACTCGGGCGGACCATTTAGCAAATTTCATGGTCTTCCCCAAATATAATAAACGCACAGTTGCTTTAGGCGCGTATTTTAATAATATTACCTTCCTAAATGCGGGTGCACATTTATGTGACCCAAATCTAAATCTCGACGGAGTCGAAATGCGTCAAAAGCCACGGGTGCACTGGTGTGACGTGGTTCGAGATACATTTTCACGACGTTGCAATTCTTATTAAAAAGACATAAAATAAAAGCGGTTAAAATAAAAGGCACATAGGTTAGAATATGTTTTAAAATCAGATAAAAGCAAATACAACAGTTGAGCGACCGTGCTAGAACCACGGAACCCGGGAATGCCTAATACCTTCTCCCGGGTTAACAGAATTCCTTACTCGGAGTTCTGGTTCGCGGACTGTTAACAGAGTCATAATTTCCTCGGATCGGGATTCAACCGGTGACTTGGGACACCATTAATCTCCCAAGTGGCGACTCTGAATGTTAATAATAAATCTCGTTCCGACTGTCCTTT